TTTTGATTATTTTGATTATAAAAAACATAGGATTGATAAACCCGTCTTTAGAATTACACCTTTCCCTTTGCACCTTACTTTGCAATTATCTGCATAATGTCCTTCATTTGAACACTTGTCTAGGTGGTGTGGATTTATATTCAAGTATTTGGAAACTAAACGATCATAGTATCCACAACGAATATATTAACGCGCATGTATAGATGTCTTATATGGGCTATTTTCATCACTTAAAGGTACATCAGAACAGGAAAACTTGGCCTTGCATTATTATTGTTATATGATGATGATGGTTTGTTATTAATACACACACAAGATGATTCCAATTCTGAATTTTCATGTGCAACAGTTAGTCCAGAGGATGATGGCGAAAATTCAATTGGTTTGCATAACAGACAGTTCAGAAGGTGGTGGTGATGATTCGAATTGGTTTGCATAGCTGCTTGGTGGTTTGTGCAATAATACCACATCTACCAAATTAGAATAATGAGAAATGATGCAACAATAATTGTGTACTGCACTACTGCATAAAAGTATATACACTTATAATCATTTGTAATGGTATCTTAGATGGTGCAATATGTGGAACTAATTTAACAGTAATAGCATCACAAACTCTGCCATATTGGAGTCAATAAATTTTTTACTTTGTTCATAAAATGTGTCTCGGTCTCTGAATAAGCAACTTCAACCACTCTAAAATCACATTAAAAATTCACTACCAAAGAGTAAATAAGTTCAAGAATTTTGTATACCTTCTCATCATACCCATCCTCTAGAGATTTATTAACTACCCACACACATCTTTCGACCTTTTGTTGCCTCTAGTCAAATATGTCAATGTCATATTTGGAATATTGATAGGAAATTAAATCCTATATCGAAATTGACTAGCATTATGTCGAAATTCTAATAATTCTGGTAACACTTTCGCATAATGCTGGTCAATTTTGACCCCGACGTAAGATTTAATTTCCTGATGCTATTAACATTGTAAGAAGTCTCACGAGTTCCTGAGGGAAGTTCATATACATAAATTCCCATACCTCACATTGCATAAATGTTGGGGACAAGTGTACTGAAAGAACTGATAAACACAACTAACATATAAGAATCCAGTTAACAACGAAAGCAGTCGTTCAAGCAAACAAAGGACTTACAAAGTTTCTTTTCTATTTTGCTTCTGGGTGTATATTTTCCTGATCCCATCATAGCCGTCAGAAATTGAGGATAGTTAGCAACATTCTTTAGAATAGTAGAAGTACTTCCATATCTAAGAAAAATTCTAGAGTTAGTCAAAAGTGAGAAAAGTCGTACATACATCTATTCACCTTTGGGTTCCTTCGTTAATGGAGCTTGCTGTTTATGTTATCATTATTGTGCCTTTCAAAGATTTTAAAGAGAAATAAGCAATCACACACCTTCTGAAATTGTTGAGATTCCTCTATTACTATACTTAGAAACCGAAATCGAAACATTCCACAAGGTTTGCATGTTCATAATTACGAGATTGAAATATGATAAGGATAAACTCAAAGTAATATTAAAGAAATAATAATATATTATGAATAATAATGTGATATGTATATAATATAATTAATATAATCAAT